AAATAAGCTATTTAATTTTTTATTAATATATTAAAATAAAAAATTTAAAAAATTATAATACTGTTTATAAAAAATAAATATTTTTTTTATTATTAAGATGACTTTTTAAACCTAGAGAGTTTATTATTAGAGGTTTAATTTTAGTTACAATAAGAGTATATCAAGCTATATATATACTTTTGATATCTAGTTATTATTTGCTATATCTGCAACCCAACTATGGAAATATCTATTTATAATCCAATTTTAAAGCAATACAGACTTTTAATCCTAATACTATTAGATTAATTATTCTACTCTAGAATTTACTAGTTTTTACAAGTTTTTCAAATTAGTCTATTCTCAAAAAAAACCTACTAGAGCAGTATATACTCATCTATATATTTATTTAGATTTTTTAATAATATATATTATAGCTAACCTATATATTTACAAGTTATTTTTATTCTTACTTATTATAACTTTTGTATAGTTTAATATTATTAAACTTGGCACCCACTTTATTCTTTAAACTTGATTAGGTACTGCAAAAAAAAACAAAATTAATAATTTTTTTAAAAGATGTTTTTTATATAAATCAATTTAAAATAAGATTAGAATCATTTTTTACTTAAAATACAAAAATAGTTGTTAATAAAATTTTGCAATAAAGTTTGTATTTTTTTATAATTTATTATAAAATTTACAATATAAAAATTAATTTTCTAAAGATCTTTGTTTTTGTTAATTTTGTCACTTTTCACAGCATCTAGCCCAACTGTAACTATAGTTTTACCAAACTACCAATCTAGTTGGCCTGATAGAGTTGGGCTGCTTAGGCTTTAGATACTTTGTAGTCTCTTTTTTTTTAATATATACTTCTAAAGTATATATAAAATCTTTGCTAGAAAAATTACTCTTTAAAAGTTTCTAATTAGATTAATTCAATAAAAGTTAAACCAAAATACTAGTTCTTATTCATATACAGTATATAATATCTTTTACTTTACTAATTTGACAGTTTATTTAATAAACTATTAAAATAAATAAAGAAAAATATAATTTACATAAATTTAACTTATTTATAAAGTTCTATTACTGCAATACAAGTATTTTTGCCCAAATTGTTAGGTTGTGCCATTTATTACATGGTGTTTTTTACTTAGTAGCTATTCCTATCTATATATAGTGTGATCACTTTATCAAATCTTGATTGGTTAATACTATATATAGACATAATCACTATCTCTAACCATGTATTCATAGTAAAAATCATGTGATAAATAGCATGCCCCTTACTAGTGATATTTATTATTTATAAAAATGATAATTTTATATTGGCTATTTAACCAATATTTTATTAAACAAATAATCAATAAACTCAATTACTATTTATTATAGGAATTATAAATATCTTATCTTCTTTAACTTTTTAAATTAAAAAGTTATAACTTTAAAATCAGTCATAACAATTGTGAAAATAGCAAAACAATATTCTTTTTAATGATCACTTGGACCAAAATTACTGACCAAAAAAGAATATAAATTTGTTAGAAACAATAAAAGTTTGCACTAAAGTAAGGTGGTGTTTACAGTAGTCAACTTTTTTCTCTTTTCTCTAGAAACTCCTCTATATATTTAGTATGCAAGCCAAAAGCATTTTTATACAAAATAACTAGCAGGCAATGGTGCTTTTGTATAAAAAATTTTGATAGAAATTATAGTTTTTCTATTAACAAAATTTCTCTAGGCAAAAAAAAAACACAAGAGAATAACAAAAACCTTTACTTTTCAACACACTCTTTATATAACATACAAGTAGTTTTCTCATTTATCAAAAAAAATTTTTTTTCATTATTGCTTGAAAATTTTTTTGCAAAAAAAGTGGGGATTTGGCTTACTACTTCCAAAAGATCAATATTGTTTATATTTCAAATCTGAACAGCCTAGTAAATTATAACTACATACTTGACAAATACAATGCTACTATTTTGAACAGGGTTCAGAGCACTATCATTAATGACAGCAGCAGGTGGCTTGAGATCCAGGTCTACAAATAGTGACAGTATTTGGTTTGAGATATAAATTAGAACAAGCCAAGCAAAATTATTTGAAGTTAGTTGTAAAGTTAGAAAGAAAAACTAACATTAAGGTGAAACTTTACAGTAGAGATATACAAGTATTGTAGTTGTTATAAATTTTTTTTAGCCTGGCATGTGTTACAATAGCTTAACCCTTTTATTTTTGTATATAGGTTATCTTTTTTCTTTTGTTTTTTCTATTTTTTTTTTTTTACTTTCATGTTGTTATATCTCTATTTTATCTTTCTTTTTATATTTGTTTTCTTTTTACTTTTTTCTATATTTGTTTTTTTTTTAGTTTATTTATTGTAGATGGATTATGAGTTAGTCTTTCTACCAAAATCTAGGTAGAAAAAATTTAAAAAAAGAGGTGGCTATGATGGGCTATTAGATCTCACCAGTAAGTTGTAGATTCAAAATTTGAAGGAGACTGCTTTTGCTTTTAGCAAGTTGCATATAGATCCAATTGAAAACCAGGTGAATTACACTTTAGTACAAGATAGCTTTGGCTGTATAACTTAGATAATCAATTGTAACTTCACTTATATGAATTGCTCTTCCTAATATCTTAAGTAATAAAGTTGTGCCTAAAAAAAAACCTTTACAGTAAATAGTACTATATAAATCTAGATTAGTAATTTTTTATAATTTTTTAATTACTACAATATAAGTTAGATAAAAGCCAAACTTTTATTAAGTTTTTTGAACAAAATAAAATAATAATTAAATTTAATCAAAAATTTATAAAAATTCAGAATTAAAATCTAAAATTCTAAAAACTTAGTATGTTAAAATTCAAGTATTTTTGTAGCAGAAACAAAAAATTTGAATTAATTTGATAAGATAGTTGTTGAGGAATTAAATTTTTAATTTTTAATTTAAGTTTTAGCATGTATCTCTAAAAAAAGTCCGTGTAACTAGGTTTTTATTAATTTTTATATAAAAGTTAAATTATTTTCTATATTAAAATTAATAAAGACCTAGTCGTACAAACTTTTAAAGATACATACTAAAACTTAAATTTAAAATTAAAAATTTAATTTTTCGAATTTTAACATACTAAGTTTTTAGAATTTTAGATTTTAATTCTGAAGTTTTATAAATTTTTGATTAAATTCAATTATTATTTTTATTTTGTTAAAAAAAATTCAATGAAAGTTTGACGCTCATCTAACTTTAGTTATAGTAATTAAAAAATTATAAAAAAAATTACCGATCTAGATTTATATAGTACTATTTACTGTAAAAATTTTAAAGCTATATATTTTAATTTAAAAAGTTAGGGGTGGATACTTATAATTCCTTGATGGCTTAGGGTTGTTTATCGCTTGAGCAAATGAGCTGTTCATTTACTATTAATGCCTCTTATTTATTTGTTGATTTGATGCTGCGATTGATTTTGACATATCATGTGGATAATACAGTAATAAATTTTTTGTAAAATGTGTTTTTAATTAGTCCTTGTAAAATTAAATAAAATAATTAAAATATTTAACTTATTAATAGGCAAGATCATCATTGTTACTAATGTAAATCAGCATATTTATAGAAATAGGCCTATACGACTAATAATTCTGGCTAGTTACGGTAAAAAAAAATAAAGTATAACTTAGGCCAATTTCAGCGTCATACAGTATCAGCCATGACAATCATTAACAAATAGTGATATACGATCAATTCATATTATATAATCACATAGTCGGATCTTGGTGAAAAAAGTGCCTACAATAGATTGTGAAAATATAGAGGTTTTTTTATTCTATACATTAGCGTAATTCATTACAAAAATAAGTGAGAGTTTTGTACGATGTACATCATATAAAAAAGGCGGTTATAAAAAGGGTGACTATAAAAAGGTTTTGTTCGACTTTTAATGTAAATTTTTTAAAATACAAGGGAGGGGGAAAAAAAAAAAAAACCTAAATACCTGGTTTATATCGTAAGTCTCATTATTACTGTATTAAGTCAAATCTACAATATTATTTATAGTAAATTACAGGGACAACTCTAATAAGTAAAAAAAAATAATATTTACAATCGAAACAGTTAGCATACGAATAAGGTTCCTTGTATAATGCTATTAGTAAAAGATTTCGAAGAGATTCGGCTTACTGCGAAGTCACTAATCATAATTATAAATTATAAATTATAAGTTATATAACGTATAAGTATTATTAATACTTCATAGATAAATTTGGTTATAACAATTATTATAAAAGATATATCCAAAAAAATAAATGAGGGACTGGCTAAACTAACTATATTAGAAAATTAGGGGAGATATCACCTAGCGCTAGTATTAAAGGAATTATTTATCCGTTACACGATTTGTGTTCTAAATAGAAATACAGAAATATCACGGATAAGTGGATAGGTGGTATCCGATTTTAAATGGTTCATCCGCCCTGTAGATCTTACATTGTATATTTATGTTAAAAAAAACTCAACTTTATTAATATATAGATAGTATATATCGATATCCGAAATTTTGAAATACTTGTTTAATCCTCTCATAATGTCACATAGATTTTCAAGATATACAAATTATTATTAGGGTTTTCATTCATCATGCCTGAAAAGGAATAAGTAGTTTCGCACATGGAAAACATTGAGACACAGATCACATTGTTCATTTTTTTTTTTTTTTTTTATACATATATATATATATATTTATTATAATTATAATTAAAAATATATATAAATTAACCTTTTATTTAAATGTAGGACTAATAGTAGAAAAATGCGCGTAATTCTAAGACATAAATGTTAAATATATAATTCAGTTATGCAATATTTTCCGGTGGTCGCACCTTTTGAAATCAATAAATTTACTAATTTTTAAATCTATAAATACCGAAAAAAATTACCTTCTGTTTGAAAATCGCATTTAAAATTATTTAAAAAACTTTACAAATTTTTTTTTGCTAAAGTAAACAAACCATGGCATCTAATTTATCAATAGAATTTCTGGCAAATGCTTTAATGAATAGCCTTGATCGTGGGAAGATCTTTCCACCTCAGTTGAACAATCCTGAAGAATTATTATCAGCTCATTGTAATCGAATTAGTCCTCCTACGCGACCCCCTAACGGGTTTCTTTTATGTAGAAAAAACGTTCATTTCGAAGCAAAACAACAAGGACATTGTAATATGCGTGTGATTTCCAAAGTGACTGGTATCCTTTGGAGAACTGCATCTGCTGAGGAGAAAGAGATTTATGAACAATTAGGTATTATTCATAACGAAAAAAAATAAAAACAGGTTATTTACTTAGTTTTTACATAATGACCTTTTTTTTTTATTCTTAGCACAAGCAGTTAACATGGTTTATGCACAACGGTATCATCCCGACAGTAATAGTTATTACATGCGAAACATGCAAAACCCTTATGTGCCAATGTGTTTTCCTCCACCTCAACTTGTTGATTGTTCTGCTAATGTTACCACCTATCCGGATTCGGGCGTATCCATGTTTGTTAATATGCAACCAGAATATCTTCCGTATGGATGCGAGATGAGTGGAAACCTGGGATTGATTTCAGTTTATTATGCTCAACCGAGGACTCAATGATTGGATAAGTCAACCCAAGTGCAGATAATGTGATCTCTTTAAACAATATACATGTATTTTTTTCTTATATGTCGGTATCAAATATGATTTGTGTTTTTAATTTTATGGTTTTAAAATGTTAAGTATTATATGCACGTCGTTTACGGATGTATGTATTCTAAGAATTATGCATATGTTACAGTAAGACTATTATATCTTGATTATGTAAAAAAAAAAGAAAAAAAAGAAATATTGTCTTCTTTTTATAGTTGATGTTTCAACGATAGATACTATAATGGGGATGGTATTGTATAAATATCGATGTGCATAAGTTAAACTATGAACAAATTATTCGAGTAGTTTACAATACAATAATATATTATCAATATTATATTTTCAATTTTATATTATCAACATTATATTTTCAATTTTATATTATCAATATTATATTATCATTATTATATTGTCAATATTATAGTATTGAGAACGATTTTTTATAATTTTGTAATATGTGACTGTGCAAGTCTGTAGATTTAGAATTGATGATCAGGAAAAATCATTCGATAAGTTGATGTACTATGGTTTATTATTAGATACAATAAAGTTATTATAAAATTATAAGCTTACCATTTTGAAGAAAGTACTAAAGTAAAGTTATATTTTCAAAAGAAATTGTTTACTACAATGAACCCATATAAAATGTAAATGGCGCACATGATAACACCTAACTATTTAACAGTTTATGGCGCATTAAATTAGCTATGTTCACCATAGATTTAAAATCCAAATTACTTTTTTTAAGTACCATTCAATCCAGGATTAGATGGATCAACGAAAGCTATCAGGGTTATTATTCAACGATACTCTGTGTATGGTACGATTCCCATGATAAGTAAAGATTTACTTTATGTGAAGAATGAAATTTAATATATTGCGAATGTTATTGCATTACGAAATCATATCATTTTCTGTCACGTGATGCATTCTTTTCGGTGATTGAAAGGCTTGGAATAAAAAGCAAAAAATCAAGAAATAAGTCCGAAATGAAATTAATTATTCTGTGTGACTCGGCAATAATAATCCGATGCAAGTACGTACAACCGAATGTTACACGTCCGATAATTTTCGAATTTGAAAATTCAAGAAACTGTCAAAAAATGTCTATCGAAAACTCCGATGATATATGGATTTTAACAATGTAGTTGATCGTCGTTGAAGAAAACCGGGGATTATCACACTCGACGTCAACAAATAGAGAAAACCACGACCAAAAAATCATCTTGTTTGCATAATAATATACATTCAAAATGGCGGTAATAAGTACCTATAAAGTTAATAACTAAATAATGTGCTTCTTACCCATTACGGATCAATCACGTAAATAAATGCTGCTTTAGGCAAAAAAAAATTTTTTCAACGAATTATAGTTGCTTTTTTCCATATTCACGTTTGTTTATTCTTTTTAACTGAACAACTTATCAAATTGTTTATTGGTCTCACGTGATCCATCAGAATTGGTCCGAGTTACATTCACTAGTGCAAAAAGAATATGCTAATTAGGTTAGTTTATCCATTTTACTTTGTTAAATAAAAATTGACGACTGGAAAAAACAAACTTCTAATCGGTGTAGCCATTATGTATGAACCTAGGCGAGTGCATATCATTTATGGTATCTAACGTATCGAATATGAACTTTAGAATATGATTGGTTCATTGAAAATATATTGCATTATAGTATAGTATACCATACATGCTAGCGATTATTCTATTTTGTATTCCAAATTCATCGTTTTTCATACCGTTTAGGTCCGGGCGACGTTACATGATACCATTCTTTGTTATCTTTACCAGGAAAATTCCAGCCAAGACATATTACCTCAGCTTACGTGGTTACTGAATTTTGCATCCATGTAATGCTGGTACGCACCAATTTGAAAATTTCGGTATGCGATTACCTAATACTGCTATACTTGTAGGAATTGAAATCCAATTTACGTACGCATTTATCGAATGTTCTTCTTCAAGAGAATAATTTATATTTCTTTATATGGACTAGCATTCATCCACCTGTTAATTAAAAAAAGTATGCATATTATTTTCTTTTTTTTTTTCAAAAAAAAAAAAAAAAACGCCACTACGAACTTTACATGCACATTGTATGAGATAAAGTTGTAAGAAATAAATTATGATACATTAAAGAAATGCAACCATCCTGAATGAATCCAAAATGGTAATCTTATAATTTCTTTAAAAAAAGTTTTTCAGATGATTTTTATTCGATTAAACTTTAAGTTGACCTATTATTTATCAACCCTGATAGATAAGGATATTGTTTTAACCATGTACAACTCTTTGTACAACTTTCTATGAGATGTACGCAAGCGGGTGTCACGCAGTATTTTGACTTATTCTCTTTCTAATTTTGAGCTGATTGAAGGGTACAGATTTATTTTTCCGTCCAGATGACTATGAAAATCTACGTACGTGTGTACGTACTAATCGTTAACGTTATGCAAATTCAAACGTTGATTTGTTATTATTTTTCGTAATAAAGAAATTTGTTTAAGGCTTTATAGACTCATATTCTTGCAAATTTAAAGATTATTTCTGCAATTAATGATAATAGAATCTATAGAATTTCGAATAATTTTGAAATTTATTATATCCTTCATAAGACTTTGAATCCTCTATTAACATTGATTCTTTACCGATTATTATTATCGTTTCTAAAGGCAAAAAAAAAAAATCAGACAAATACTCTTCACCACACCCATCACATGATCTTTTTTATATTACATAGTATAAGATAGTCGTTTTATACAAATTAGGGTAATAACATCATGTAATGTAAAAGATTATATAATAAATTTACCAATCTTTATTGAAAAAAAATTCCAATTTCAGTAACGATAAATCAAATAGATTAGTTTTTTTTTTCAAGTTTATATAATACTATATATTTTGGCATTAAAGTAACTGCATGTGTACGTATGTATAAATGTTAAACCAAATGCGTATAATATTTAAATATTACAAAAATATCAGTACGGTACTCTAAAAATTTGTAAATTATGTACCAATTGTACATATAATATTAATTATATTAAACGGAAAATTAGCAACTATTTGAGTATATATTATGTATTAACCAACCCTTCTGTCGCATATGATAATAAAGTCATAAGCAAGTCCTCACCTTAAGGGGAAAAAAATTAGCAACTATTTTAATGATAAATACGTAGTTGATGCAAAATTAATTGGAGAATTAATTTTGGTTTATAATCCAGTCGGTATATCCTCTTCTAGAATATTTATGAATGCATTAAGGAAAAACGCCTCTCTAAATACGTATACGCTCATAGTTTAACACACAATCTAATGGTGCACACCTAGTTAATTGTCTATTTTGGTTTATATATTGTAATTCGAATTGGTACGGAACCCGATTGTCCTGATTCAGATCGGGTTATCCAATTTTGAAATTTTTAATGTTAAATGGGTTACTGGCTTGAAAATATATAATTAATTATAATATACTATCACTAAGCCTAACCTTACTAATTCTTAAGCTGGAAAATCAGCCTGAGTTTTAAAACTGGTATGCCGATTCTGATTCAAATTCGAGGTACGTACGATATATATATATATATATGCTATAAAGCCGTTCACTTTAAAGCATTCTAATTGGCCGTTTACACTATGCGTGGCTTAATATTAATATGTGCCAAGACATTGAGCGGTTAGTATTACGTATTAATAGAGATGACAACAATAAAAAAAAAAAGTATTTACATAGTAAATGATATGTAAAAGGCAAAAATTTTTTCATAAATCCATAAATGATTTTTACGTGTAGGATCTTTAACAAACCAATGAAATTGATTATCAAAGATGAAGATATTAATCATCCTAAGTTCATACTAAATTTAGATTTATATTACATAATAAGTTTTTTCACTTTACCAAATTTAATTACGTGTATTAATGAGAATCTCTTTGATTAACATAAATTAATATCAGTATCCATAATTCAAAGGCAACAGTATATTTATAGCAAATTCAGGGATAACAAAGAAGTTTACTGTACTTTACCATATTTTGATTTTAAAAATATATATAATCTAGAGATGGTCGTATAAGAAATAATTACTTACGTGTTATCCTTCAATCCGTTATGATCTGCATCAATCAATAATTTTAGTTGTTTTTTTTTTATTTAATATTAAAAGCATTGTAAGTAGAGATGGGCAATATGTGCATTTTTTACGGGAAAAAATTTAGCCTAATTATTCTATTATTTAATGAACCGGAACCCTGCGTATGGATGCGCATTAATGCACAATTTATATAAATATACCTTGATGGAAAAAATGTCCACATCTTCAGTAATCACGCACATCGGCTCATCTCTAGTTGTAAATGTCAAAATTTCGTTAAATCTATTCAGATGTACCCTGACAACCCTTTTTGCGAAAATTTTGATGGATAATTCGGTTACTGGCATGTAGCGGTCAATAACTGAAAAATCATCTTTCGAAAATTTTCATCAAATAACTGCAATTATTATTCACTACGCATTTAATTATTGTTAATTGTTACGATTCGTAAATGCAATTGGATAATATATTTTTAAATGCTAATCAGAACTTATTTTGCAAATGCCAAGCTTTTAATTATTATGAAATCGGAGCTATTAAAATCTGCTACGTACGTACGTAGATGTAGATCGGATAGTTGATAGGGTGAAATTCACAAAGGTTTCTTATGTGATGATCATAGCGGATTTTATTAGCTCGTAACTCAAGTTTCACCTGTCGTATTATTATTACTTATCCATATATTTGTTAATCATAATTAATAAATAGTACAATCGCTCATTTCTAGTATAATCACCCAAATTCGACTTTGACTGTGAACGATGGTTTTGAGTTAGTACAAAATATTCGGATTATTCATTGCCGGGGGATGATGCTGAAACTTGAACTTATTTTAATATGAAATTTTAAAAATTTTTTGGGGTGTATTTTCTAGATTTTTTTTTTTTATGGTTGGATTAGGATTTAAGATTAGGGTTTATAATTAAAGAGTATAGGTGGGTTTTAGTAGAATTCATATTTTTAAATAGAACCCTAAATTTCAGCATCATCCCCAAATTCATTAATAATACTTAACGAGAGATCATATTTGAGATCATTCTTCTCTCTCTTAAAAATCCATATACTTACTAGTGTGTTGAGAGACCAAGGCAACCAACGAAATTTAGCTTTGATAATCAAATAATATGCACTACAAACTGATTGTCAATAAAACCTAACACCAGCTAGACAAGTTTATAATCGAGATCACTTTTCACTCTCTTAAAAATCGCACTTATCTACATATCTAACATGTTGAGAGAACAAAGAAATCAACAGAATTTAGCCTTTGATAATTAAGGAATATGCACTACAAAGCGACCTTCAATAAAGCCTAACTTCAGTTAAGCAAGTTAGCGATCTTTAACATAATATCAAGTACAAAATTTTCTTTTATATGTTACATACAATTATTAATCTCACATATAAAGCATATCCGGGGACGGTCCGAACGTTAAATCGGTAAATAAAGAGTGGACTCGTGATGTATTGGTCAATAATAAAAATATTAAAATTAATTTAATTGATAAAATTTGACTATTAATTATTACTATTACAGTATTAAAAATCCCAACATAGTAATTAACATTTAATTATTAATTATTATTGCTACAGTATTGGGGCTTAGACTTCTACGTAATACTATCCCAATATTATAACTGTCGAGGCTAGTTTATAAGGCTGTGCAGAAACTGGCTTTATAATGGAATCTCTCGACTAAGCCACCGCGCATTCATATGCATCAGTTGTAATACTATGCAGTTATATACATAAATTTTGACGTATATTATAACATGAATATATAAGTTTAATGCTAAGTTCTAAATATATATCTGTACCGTATTTAGTGTTGTACATCTTTTTTTTGATGCCCATCCTCTTATATATAGCGTTAAGTTCTAACCATTTTTACTTAGCTTAGATCTCAACGGGTTGTCTTAATAAACTTTTTTAAATTGCTCTAAACCGTTCTGTCTATCTACCACTAAATCTAATTATCGGAGAAAAAAATAAGCTATTGGTTAATTTTAGTAAGATACTGTATATGAGTTTAAACTTTATGCGCTAATAAATAAACATGGATGATACACCTTGTTTAATCTATCAATTGACATAGCTACTTCACGGGTATATCAGTTTTCCATATTTGTTTTACTAAATTATCTAATCAGAGTTATAATATATTAATTGAGCATTTTGATGTGCATAATTTTGCTTGCAAAAACTCTTTCAAAAGAGCTTCTACAAAGTAATTACATAATTGAAGTTTCCGCATATTTTCTACGATTAAAGAATTTCTATGTTTAATAAAGATTTTAGTAAGCTGTACCTACGCACGTACAGTACGTACAGTACATCAATGTATAATTAGGTAATATGTATGAAATGTCTTCTCAGATCATTGAAATAAAATTTGAATGTACCCATTTATAGTAATTTGTATAGTCATTTAAAAAAACGGCGGCTAATATATCACTATCACAAGACGTGTCAATATAGTAAACTTGTTTATGTCACCAAAAATTATTATACGCATTATAATAGTTTTTGATTAGTCTTAAATATTCAAATATTTATGCAACATTAGTAAATAGTTATTGTCTCCCACGTCAGTTGAATAAGTTACATTAATAAATAAATGACTTGTGTATGCATCATGAATAATATATCAGGAAAGATAAGGTAGTAAACAAAAAGATTTTCTTTAAGAATGATAGTTCTGCACCCATAAAATTAGACTTATTATTATTATATAATATGCGGCTAGCTCCTATTTTGATTTAAGATTATCAATCTTTGATATTTTCTTTCTTCGGAATTTTAGAACCGAATGTCTAAAATATCTTTTAGCATATCCTTCCAAAAGTTCATAGTATTCTTCCAATATTGTTGCTTTTTGGAGAATTGTGGAATCAATAAATTTAGAATAACTCCGTAGTACACGTCGAAGAGGTGCTCGTTTATTTAGAAGCCGTTATACTTACAAAAAGGATTAATTATTGTACTCGAAACACGTAAATTTACTGCATATGCGTATGAATTACTTCCCATACGTCGTACAACACAGATATTGTAATAGAATTTACTAAGATTGAAGTTTTGTGTTACATTCTATGATCATTCATTATGAAATCATATGACTGTACGTCGTAATGTGTATTAAGCCGAGAAGACATGGCTTTTTTTTCTGGCGATTACTAACCTATTTCGGACATTTTGCAACTCTTTTGAACTGTTGCTCCTTTAAAGAGAAAACAAATGTCGCGGAATAGTCGGGTTTAGATCAATTATGTGTATAATCAATTTAAATCACTATAAATAATATTTTATGCCAAAATAGGCTCACAATAAAGAAGAATTTTTTGGAAAAAATGTCGTTTATATCGGAATACATCACCAATTACTTATTTACAAGTATAGCGTTTCCGATTTATTTCATAAATTTGTTTACATCAATATTATTATAAACACATCCATATGGAAGTGCAGAAAATATGTTTTCTGGTGTGACCTTTGAAGGTAACTGTGTTCAAGACGAATCCATTAAAGGTTTAAGTAATCGAAAGATTACGTGTAATAAATCCTCATTTATACAATTCTGTAAAAAAAAAAGAAGTTTAGATCAGGAATTACTGCTTAAAAATTTTTATCACACGATTATCACAATCTCATACGTTGCTGAATTTAAATTATTAATTCAATTAAAGTAAGCGTGAATATGCAATATATTTAATTGATACATAATTTTTTTTCATTCACATAAACAAATTACAAGTTACAAACTATCCCATATATCGGAATTTATCCAAGATCTCGCCGAAACTCGGATTAGCACCACGCAACACGTTGTGAAAATACAAATTTTGAGTAAATCCCTGGGAATTAGGGACCTCGATTTAAAAATATAACCCCTACCAAAATCCGATAATACTCTTTTATTATAAAAACTAACCCTAAACCTTAACCTAACTGTTTAAAAAAGCTAAAAAAAATGCACCCCAAAAATTTTTTGAAAATTTTATACTAATATTTTCCAACTGTTCATTTTTGAGTTTTGCATTGTTCCAACTTTAACACATAAATATAATACATTAATCTAGGCACGTATATATCCGGATCGAAAATGTTAAATTATCTACCAGTAGATCCGAATATATGTGTAAATCGACAACGCATTGAAATTAAAACAATGTATTAATACCGTAGTTCAAACAACGAAAATAGTAATTTACCATAGCCTCGTTAAAATTAGAATGCAAGGTTACTATTACTTATGCTCAAGTAAAAAAAAACCGGAAAGACACAGAATTTGAATTATTTTGTCATATGTTCGTTTTGTATAGTTTCATATGAGTGACACCAAAGAAAAATAAGGCCTCGCTCATATAAATTTATGATCGAGGTCCCATTTTTCTTAGCATCACCCATATGATCATTGGATCTGGTCCATGCATTTATTGTAAGTCTAAATTGTAAAACAAAATTTCATCCCTTAGAATGCATACTCATTTAGAGAGTATGCGCTTAGAGAGTATATGCAATTAGAGAGTACGCATTTAGGCAGTATCGATTGTATTTTTGATTACTAATTTACGATTATAGTCAGATTACTATATATGATTTAACGGGACATACTATAGCGACTTTTACGTGCATTCAAAAGATATGTTGATAACGCATTTGCGCGAAATAATACATGAACATAAAAACTGCATTTATTAGAAATAACTCCGTACATCTTAAAATAACGCGTACACTCCATTGATATAATAATATTAATACTTTGTAATATTCCTTATTTAAGTTCATGCCCTATCCTGATGACAAATATGCCAATGGTGTCATGTAGATTATAAAATCAGTCAGGGCAAGAAGCAATTAGAATTATTACGTCAAGGACCTTAATTTGGTATAAATTTCGTCATTATGTGAATACGTAAATCATAATTTTGTACATTAGAATATTCTAGCATGATTTTTTATTTTCTTAATTAGGGAATTGATGATGAATGACGACGATCTTTGATCGACGATGACGAATTCACTCTTCTGCGTCATTCATTAATATAATGAATCTGCAGGTTATCTATCGAATTTTTATGATAGAAAACAATCTGTAAATAGTTGAAATTTTTTTCTTCCCTTTTTTTGTCAATTTCTTACTTCGTATATATTTTCTTAATTTAGCATAAACAAGAATTCTGTTACCCATATTCTAATTTTGAATGACGATCTTGACCGACGATGATGAATTTGCTCTTCTGCGAAGTCATTCATTAGTCAATACAAATCCGCAGGCTATCTATCGGATTTTTGAAAACATAATTAGTTAAAATAAGAAAATTTTTTCTTCCCCTCTTTTGTCGATTTCTTACTTTGCATATGTTTCTTAATTTAGAGTTCTATTACGTACGTATCATACAATTTTGATACTGTAAACCAATTATTTATAGTTATTGTATGGGTATACATGAATAACCTAGTTACACACGGTTTCATATTCCGTGCCGCACGGGATTTAAATATGAACCCGTGTGTGTAACTGGGTTATTCATATACCCATATGATAACTATCTTATTGCACTGTGTCTGACGTACAAAATGAAAAAAGCACGGGTTGTCACATAAGACCTGTGCAATAATAAATATTAACCGACTGTTAAAAAAAAAAAAGCTCCAATCCGAATTAATCCGCCATCAATTTATCTGACATGCTATATCTGGATAAACCAGATATCCAAATGAATTCAACCGAATTATCCGATGTACTATGGATTACAAGTTTTAAGGTAGTCAACAATATAAATTAGAGAAATTCTATTTTCATCTGGATAAAAATAGAATATCTCCAATTTATATTGTTGACTACCTTAGAATTTTAATTGTCAAATGATTTATATTGTAGATTACTTTAGAACTTGTAATTGTCAAGTGAATCCGAATAATCAAATTATTCGGCTACCCATCTATTAATTTATTTTATCAAATTATCTATCATATTCTGGATATATAATAAACAAATATATAAATGCTTTATGGATGGGAGCACTAAAAAAAAACAAAAAAAAAACAACCCACCACAGTTAAGTGTTTTCTAAAGATTTCTCGACAGCCACCTAACTAAAATCGATAAAACTTTTTAAGAATTGTAGAACTGATTTAATAAAAAAATAAAGAAGCTATGTTTAAATATTTTCTAGTGATACGTATGTTGATAATCACTTATCCAAAATCGATAAAATTCGGCTAAGTCAATTTTTTTTTTTTAAAAAAAAGAAGATATCTTGATAGTCACCCTACCCCCAAATAGGTAAAAATTAACCAATCCTATAAACTGTATAATTCTAATTTTTTTTTTTTAAAAAAAAAAAAAAAAGATATTTTTGACAGCCACCTCCCCAAATCGATAAAATTAAAATTATAAACATAGGTTTTTTTTTTTTTAAAAAAAAAAAAAAAGAACGATAACTTGACAGCCACTTACCCAAATCGATAAAATTAAATCAATTCAAAAAAAAAACTGTTTTCCAGTCGCCTATCCAATCGACTGAGATGTTTCCATATAAAGCTCGGTAAATTTTAACCAACTATTAAAAAGGAATCTGTTTCAGGACGAAGAATCTTAATAGTTACTCACCCAAAATAGATAAATATATATATATTATATATATAACATTTATTTACATAAATTCTACAAATCATAAAATTGGTATCATCGAATTTGGGAAAGGAGATATCCTTCAGAAAGGACTTAAACACCATTAAGAACTTCGATAAAAAATTTTTAGATCAATCCTACAAATTCGTAAAATTGATTTAAAAATACTTTTTTAGTTGCGATTTCTTTTCTGTTTAGTGAACAACAGTATCTAACGCTAGAATAATTTTCATTAGCTGTGATAAAATCGAGAATCGAACTTGTTATAGGTCTTTAATATGATCATCAAAACCAAGAGTTGTCCGGAATCAGCCTCTGAAAGTATGCAAGTGGTGCAGCAGAAACTTTTGTGTGAAAGTAATAAAGTCCTCAAATCCCCTTTATTTAAAATGTCACGGAGCCTTTTTCGCTTGTTAGTGTCGTATGTTATCGTAAACTGCCGTATACAAGACCCCCTAGACCCGGGTGTGAACTCAAAATCTACAATAACCAAATGCGGTTTATTTTAAATACCTAGGCTGCCCACTATGAATGAAAATATGCATGCTTTTTAAAATTTTCCTTATAATGGTAAAAACTCTCCACCATGTACTAGACCCGGGGTCTAATATTAGGTTTTAATAGTGGCTTTAGTATTGGTGGGGTGTAAGAGACCCGGGAGAACAGCTCTTTTCTAAGAAAATTACTCGGGCGTGTAACGAAAAGCAATTTTATTTGTCTGCATGGCCTAATACTGTATGAAAATTGAAGTTCTGCAGTTTTGGGGTTTCGAGTTTCGGATGATGTTTCGAGTGGTACTTGTCTTTTTTTAGTTTATTTAATACATATTATTTTTCAAGAAAACTTTCAAACCATTACCCAAGAAATTTCATTCTCGCCATAAACCATGCATACTCCTTCAATAATAAAAAATTCTTACCTATAACTATTAGTGCCGAATAGATGTGTGAAGTAAATCATTATCGTTATTAGATCAACAAAAAACGACACTGTCCGAAACACATCTATTTCCGGCTCTTTAAGCACGTACGTAGAGTGTGCATTAACTAAGCTTAATACTAATAATTTTATCGGAATCATTCACATCTTATTTTAATGCTTAGCAACCTTAGTATCCGAATTCTCGCTAATTTCGTTGATTCTAAATATCTCATAGTTATTAGGACGAGAATTATCGATAGTTTGCAACGACCGGGCTGCCAGAACTCGACCTTTTGAAAGTAATACGTCAGTTAATAATTAAAGTTACTTGGCAGATTACGATCACTGACAAATAGCTCAAGTTCTAGTAGCCTGATCGTAGCAAACTGCTGGGTGATACGATTCATCACGCAAGAACTACAAAGTTCCGAACTCTAAAATGTATTAATTTAATTCATGATATCTATATCATAAGAAATTCACGAATATCTAAAAGCCTTTCTTGTGCTGCTGATTTTAAACATATATTATGAATTCAACTTATACAGTACGCGAACAAGTCATGAATTTGCTCATAGAGTGATAAAGGAAGTATATGCTAAAAAGTAATGATAGTATTGCGTTCTGTATAGGTATCCTGGCTTATAATATCGCGTTAAAACGTAAATCCTCTAAATATGCTTTAAAATAAAATAGAGAAATTGATTTAGGAACTGATTAAAGATAACTTAAGGTAAAAAAAATAAAATAATAAATATTAACTTCGCCATCTCTTCGTGAGCTTCCTTCTTTGCTGTTTACTGGCACATAGCTTGCTGGTAACATTATTTGCGCCTAACAAAAAAACATAGTATTCATTCTTATTCGTTTTTATGACAAAGAAATGCAGTGTCACTTTTCGATATTTTTAGAGCTCCTCAAAATTATTATGAGAAAAAAATTTTGATATACGACGTTAACTAAAATATTTGCCATGTCATCCAAAGAAAATTTTTGGTCAGTATTTCCTTTTTTTTATTGGCGTGTTTTTATGCTGCCAAGTAAAATAACTCAAACTGAAAAATTTAAATCGGAGCTTATAGTTATCTGATTACTTTAAGCGATTTATCATTTAAATAAAATAAAAACCAATTTTTGTATAAAATCGATTGAATGTACAATTTGTGATATACTACCTAAATTTGTGCAATAATAAAGATATGATGATAATGCCAAACTTAATAATAGATCGGTTTGACTATAAATTATACTGTATATACTGTACTTTTTTTAAAAAATATCGGTCCCACATTATATGAGCTTCAAATTTTATAATTTGTACAGGATTACCAATAGTTTTATCTCGGCTTCTGGCTATACACTCGAAATCGGATGATTAATTTTTATTATACTGTAAATAAAAAAAGGCGAGTTCCGAAGAGAAAGCGATTGCGGTAACATCATTACACAGTATATTTTAAAAAAAATAAAATAAAGTCGATATAAATAAAAATATCAACAATGTATTATTATTATCATTATTATTATTATTATTATTATTATTTATTGTCACGGCTGAAGTCAAATTTTTTGGGGAGCAGATTTTTGGTTTTAAATAGCTAGATTAGGATTTAGTGAGTATAAGTGGATTATACTTAGCTCCAAAATCTTGTGCAATCCGAAAGTTTCGAGTTCGGATTATTGTTTTCGAATAATCATAATCTGAAACATTTTTCCGAAATTTAAATCGCAAGAACTTAAATTTTTACATAATACAGAGTGCTCTTAGACATCTAAATAACAAGCCGGAGCTCGATTTTTAATTAACAGAATATAGTTTAGTCGATCGAGTTCATTATCACGATGAAAAGAGACTATCTTTTATCATAGAGTTGTGTTGTGATTGGTTAAAATTTTAATATCTGCATTTGTGAGAAGAATTTAGTCGGTATCACATCGTATAAAATTATAAATATATGTGATGATAATGATAGGGAAATAAATTATAGTAAATTATAATTTTTTAATAGAATCTTACTAACTATAACCAGTGGTAATCATCACGAGTATATAGTAAAGTAGTACTGTACGGTAGCACAAAATCGGACGGACGGACTTTTGAAAATAATACTGTACGGTAGCTCAAAATCGGACGGACTTTTGAAAATAATATATCATAT